TAAGACCATCTGACACTTGAGCTGGCACGGATGTCATTTCTCTCTCCCCCCAGACACTGATAAATTAACAACCTAATCTTTTTATTCAGCTTCTTGTGACACTGGTTATGATGACTCAGTTCAACAGAACCTGATGATCTGTAAGAGAACTGAGAAAAATTTGTGAACCTCATTAACCCTGAGATCTTCCTGACTTGCAGTCCCAACCACAGGGCAAAACATATGCTCCCTGGTCAGTCTTAAGTTATCTGTATGGGTTTATTCATAAACTGTTATCTGAATTCAGTTAGAATGTGAGTTGTAAAGAACAGGTTCTTATGTTCTAGAGACGGGAGTTCAAATCCTGGCTCTGCAGTGTCTTAGCTCTATGGTCTTGGACAAGTAACTTCACCTCTCTGTACTTCAGTTTTTGAAAAAAGAAGTCAATAGGAATACCTACGTTTATGGGATCAAAAGTATATGAGTAACCAGCATAGCTAAGTAGTAGCAACTGATATTTGCTGGGTGTTACCAGAAAGCAAAAATGAGCAGAGCCCTTTAGAAATATCGGCTGGAGCATAGAAGGAGGCAAGCTGCACGTAAGTGACTACAATAGTCTGAAGGAGACGTGATTAAAGACCCATCCAAATTAGTTACCGAGCTTATTATAAAGGAGGTAGCATTTGAAAGTAGACCTGGGCCCTGTCCAAAGATAGGTAGAAAGAAGTTTCCAGGAAGAGGGAAGTGAAAGAGCAATCTTGGGAGATACAATCCAGCCTGATAAACCTTTCTGGAAACTGAATCTAAATAGTCATAATTCAAAAGTAGCCGCAGAAGCTCAAGCTTCCACTTCCAGCATTCGCACCATTAAGCAATTCTGTCCCACCCTGACTCAGAACTTGATCTTGCCACTGGCCTTGACCAATGAGATGGAAATTAGCAAATGTGATTCAAGTGGCACTGTACAAAGAGCTTGCAAGATAAGGCTGACCCTAATGCTGTACTTGGAGCCTTTCTGCCAAGGGAACAAACCTGCTCTATATAGTTGGATGATGGGATATACGTGCTTTAGTCTCTGCAAGGCCCCAATAAATAGCCAATGCTGCTAGAGGCACCCCAGGAAAGCCCTTGCAGCTGGCCACAGGCACATAGGCAAGCACTGTGGAGATCAACAAAATTGCCCAACTGAGCTCAACCAAATTTTAAGTTATGGAACTATGACCAATATAAACAATGACTAGTACAACTGTGCAGTATATCAAGACACTGCATTTTAGAGTGGCTTGTGAAAGAATCCAGTTTGCTAGTAATGGAGAGGCATTAAAATGTGGGGGCAGATGGGCCATATGAGCATGTCTGAAATGCTAACCTGATAGATGTGTGTTTGGGAAATTGGAGACAGATCATACATATTAGATTAAGCAAAATAATTATTAGCATAAATTTGCTTCAAAATAAACTGAGGAGTTATTATTGAGAGCAAAGGGTAGTAATTAACCATATCTTATAGCCTTGTCACCAGGGGATGTCAGTGGGTGATAGACATCAGCATTACTTGGAGCTTATTGGGAATATGGACGTTGGGTCCCACCCAGATCTACAGACCCGATTAAGGGTTTCAGCTGTATCCCCAGGTATTTCTCTGGTCCTATCACAATGTGAGAAGGACTCTCCTATCCTAAAAGTACAAACTGATTCTTGCGGCACTCACTTTGTCCTTCCTATTCTGGTCAGATTTGTTTACTTTAGATATTTCAATATTCCCTCTTTCTCACCTGCTTCCTACCATAGCTTTACTGAACAAATTAAAAGGTCACCTTCATCCTTTGAATATTAAAAAGTCCCTCCTCCCCTCCTCTTGCTCTTTGTGTGTGGGTGTGCTTGTGTGCACACATGATGTGTCTTCTTAATAACTTTGAGTAGGACCCGATGAATAAAATTGCTTCCCCATGCAGATTTTGAACCAACTGAGAATATGACAAAAGATAAGGTAGAGTGAAGATCTCACATCGTCACAGATAGAGTCCAAGTTTGGGACATTGCTAAGTAGACTTCCCACGGCATTTAGAATTAGACTTGTGCAGGCCAGGATGATGAGCAGCCTTGCCCCTTCTCATTGGCAGAGCAGCCACCTTCTCTGAGAGGAGGAGAAAAGAAAGACCAGCCTGAGGGGAGGGACAGGAGAAAGGGAAGTCCTGGAGGGAGCCAGGAGAGTTGCTGCTACACAAAAGGAAATACTACAGGCTGTGGGAGAATCTTAGTGGTATCCCATGCTAAGCATCCTTGAGGTCCTGAGTTCAATTCCCAGCACCACCAACAGCCAAGGAAACCCCAGGATGTAGAAAAGTGCTTTAGCAGTGGCGATGGGAAGGATGTGTTGTGTGCAATGTGGTTGCCCTAGTGGCTTAGAAATTTCTTAAGAGCCAAAGTGTGTAGAAGTACTCTGGAACGATGACCGATTCATGGCCTGTGCTCATGGTTAAAATGAAAAAAATACAGGATGCAATCTGTGATTTTAAAAAATGGGGTTAGAGTTGAGGTTCAAAGTTAACTGCTGCGGTTTGAATGTGCCAGAATTCATGTTGAGGTTTAAGAGCCATTGTGGGGTATGAAGAAGTAGAACTGTTAAGGGACATTCGGTCACAGACTAACAGGTTGATGAGTTATCTGAAGAGGGGGTCTGTTAGGAAATCAATTTGGCTGTCTCTGTCCTATGCATCCCTCTTGGCCTGTGACGCTCTCTGCCACCTCTGGACTTTACAGTGAATCCCACCAGCCCACACTAGATGTGATGCCATAACCTTGGACCTGTCAACCTCCAGACGCACAAACCAAAGTAAACCTCTGTCCTTTATAAAGCACCTAGTCCCAGGTATTCTCCTTTAGTAACAAAACATGGACTGAGCCAATAACAAAGAACATGTTTGAAAGTTTATAAGCAAGAAGAGCAACAACAACAACAAAAATAAAAATGCTTGCTAGACAGAACATCTTCCTTGGACTCTTCTGTTAGTCATAAAAAAATTAACAAATAAGTTAGCTTCTATTATATTTCATCCATTAGGCAAATATTTCTCCTGTGACACAGAATAGACATTGCTGAAAAACTACACACTCAGCAAAATCGTACACTACAAAGAATGCTTTTAGGAATATTAGGACTAGAGTCAGACCACTAAACATTCATGCAACTTTGTAACTACCACACTAACAAAAACAGTAATTGGTATCTTGACAGACAACTTGGACAGTCCAGGCAGGAAGCACAGCATGCTTGGAGGTTGCCTCAAGGCTATTAAAATGCTACTTAAAATGATAGTGTGAAATTATAGAGAAGGAAGACAGATTAGTCACTGCTAGCGGCAGAGATAACAATGGAAAGGGCTAAGCGTGGCTACGCAAGGCCCCTGTGGGAATAGGACAGTGCTGTGGCTTAGCTGTGATGGTTATGCTCCCCTCTGTGCATGTGATAAAATTGAATAGGACAGCATACACACGGTGCACGTAAAAGTGGTGGAACCTGAATAAACTATGGATCGTTCCAATGACCAGTGTCAATTTCCTGGCTTTGAAATAGTCTTAAAGTTGTGCCAAATGTCATCACTGAAGAAACTTTGAGTGTAGGATATAGGAGACATCTTTGTACATTTTTTTTCTTGCCATTTCCTGCAAGTCTATAATTATTTCAAAATTAAAAGCAAAAAAAAAAAAATTGGGGAGAAGTGCTGGCTGCAGTGGGAGAAGCCAGAAACAGCAAGATGGAGCTCTGAGCAGTGGACTACGGATAGGCAGCTAGGGTAGCAGGGGCAGCCTGCCCAAGCAGACCCAGAGTCCCCCTCCTAGGGTGCATGCTCCAAGTGGTGCCTGTATTTTTATTTTCTTAACATGCACTAGAAAGTGTTTGTAGCTGTATTCTAAATTTAGTTTGTTTTCTTTGCTCTGGATCTGCCTAGTCATTTGGGAAGGTGTCACTTGGTTGCAAATGGAACACTTTTCAAATGTAAGCTCTATCATGTTTAATGGACACAGAGTCTTCGGGGAAGACTTGTGCCTCCCTCTCTGGAGCTGTCCAACTGTACTTCCGCGAATGAGCTTCTGAAGAAGACTGATGTGTAAATGAAGACACAGGGCTCAACCAAAGCATAGCCAGTGAGTGCAAAAGGCCTCAATCAGAGGTCTTCACCATCAGCACCTAGGATTCACCAGAGATAATTGTTTCAAATGCAGATTAGTTGATCTGTCTCCAGAGTTCCTGAATTCAGTGCTGTGAGGATGAGCTACAGAAATCTGCAGTGCAACATGCACACCGGGGGATGTGGATGCTCTCTCTCAGAACCACTCTTTGAAAAGCACAGGCTTAAATCCTCAACAAGGAGAAGACTGACCCACTAGCTTTTAAGTATTTTGCTGGTTTCTTGCTGAAATAGTGCAATTTGGCTGAACAGGGAGCTGTGGAAGAGATGAGTTGAGGCAATGCTTCAAAGACATGCTGAGCAAACTGAAAAGCAAGTTAAAGCACCATGACATTGCTTCCATAGCTGGGGACTGACAGCAGCTGACAGTCATGCTGGCACCAGTGTCACCTTTGAATACAAAGAACACTGGGTATTTTGACTTATTTCAGCAGGGATAAAATGTTTGGGAGGAAAATATTCCCTTAACTAGCTTCCTCCTCTGAAGCATCAGTGTAGAAAAATAATGCCTTAGACTCGTGTATCAGCTTTGCAATCACCAACTTATCACAAGACAGATTATTTCAATCATCTGCCCTGAGGCAAACAGTACATTTCTTGAAATTCGTTAAATATTGAAAAAGGTAGTTTTGAACAATATAGTCCGACTTCTCATAGCTTCAAAACATTTCCTTCTCAGCATATTAAAAGCCCAGTTAAAATACTACTGAACACAGATGGAATCAAGAAGCTGGTGACCACACGATGGGGATGAGGAAATTCCCACTCCCTTGTGACACTGAGTTGCATTTGATTTCTAGGTTTTTAAAATATTTTTAGTAGAAAATTCAAGTGTGTGCATAGTAGCAGGGTAGTATACACTTAGATACATGAAAACATTGTATAATGTTTAAATCAGGGTAAGCATTTCTATCTCATCAAATATATTATCCTTGGTTAGAGGGTATATCAGACATTAAATTGATAAGACCAGACACTATGCTTTATCTTAACCAAAAGGCCAAGAACTGATTGAATTTATGAAAAGCAGAAGACCTATATTTTGACAGTGTCCCAAACATTCACTGAAGAACTTCTTCCTTATACTCTTGGAGACACTGAGGTCTGCCTGGTCCATTATTAGAGTTTGGTTTCAGGCTCTTCTTAGCTTCTCCAGGACCATAGTTGATTGTTTCTATACATTCAGCATTTAGTACATTATCCAATATGTAAAAGATATTAGGCACTGTCAAAGAATGAAAAAAGGTCTCTTGCACAGCACCATCCAAGGAGAATCCAGAATTAAGTGGGAGGAAAAAGAAAGCATGCATTCAGGCCCCTTCCTTCTTTTTGACTTGAAATCTCAAGGCTTAATAATATGTTCAGATCCAAACTAGGGAATGGGTGTGGAACTTCTGTAGGCTGCAAAAATGGCAGAAAGTATCAACCGCCGGGAGCTCCCCCAAAAGTGGAGGCTTTTCAATAAAAAAGTCCAACTCAAAGCCAGGCGGTGTAATCAAGCATGTGAAGCAAATAAGAAGAACTACTATACCACACTCCATTCAGGCCATGTGACAATCCTCTGAAAGGGATTACTACCGGTAAAGGACTACCCTCATACTTGCTCGTTGCATCCCCAGCCACCACCTAGTGGATGGTCACGTAATAGCCCTTCAATAAATGAAGGAATGAGCGAGTCAATCTACATCTTTACAGGTGGAGAAACTGAGGCTCAGAGTGGGAACAGAACTGTATTCACATAGCTGCTTTACATTTCCAAATGTGCAACATACTCAGATTTATTACCTGCGCTGAGGCAGGTTGTTCTGCACTCACCGTTACCTTTGAGCTATGCCAGCTGTAAATCTCAGTGTCCAGTAGGTGGCGTCCCCATTTAATATTCGTACTAAATGCTCACTGGGAAGCAGGCCCTTCCAAAATGAGCAAATAAGACTGCTCTAAGGCATTTCAAAATACTTATTTATATTAAAGGTAAAAATAACCATGTGACCTGGAATTCTAGCCCAATGGCCTTCACAAATGTATTCAAAATAACTATTACTGTTGGTAGAAGGGTGCATGTAGCTTTGCCCCCAAAACACATCCACATCCTGGAACCTTGTAAATACCACTTTACTGAGGAAAAAAAGTCTTTGCAGATGTGATTAAGCTAAGAGTCCCAAGATAAGATCATTCTGGATTATCCATATAATTACATAAATCCAATGCCAAGCACCTTTATATGAGCAGAAAAGCAAAAGAGCCCATGAAGACATCAGAGTGGAGTGATGCAGTCATAGGTCAAGGGACACCTGGAGCCACCAGAACCTGAAGGAAGTGAAGAAGGGTTCTCCCCTGTAGCCTTCAGGAGTGCAGCCTGCCAACACCTTGATTTTGGACTTCTGGTTTCTGGAACAATGAGGGAATTAAATTTTGGTTTGGTTTTGCTTTTTTGCAGTGCCAGGCCTTATGCAGGCTAATGAAGTTCTCTATCACTGGGCTACAACTCCAGCTCTGTCATTTTATTTATTAAGCTACCAAATTTCTGATAATTTGTTATGGTGCACCGAGAAAACTGATACACAGTCCAAATAAGAAAAACTGAATCAAATGTAAGGCAGATTACTAAAATCATGAAGTTTCAAACTCAAGTCCCTAACCGAAATATTCAACCTCCTAAACCATAGAGCCTCTTTGCATAGGTCGTTTGAGCATGAATGTTCCCATCATTTGAGAGACAGAATTGTACTAGAGACTTGCGTTTTGATTTCCTCAAAGGTAGCAAACCTTGTCTCTTTTCTAAGATCGTACCACTCTCGTCCATCATTCTGGAACAATAAGGCATTCAATTGTCCATGATGGTGTTTTCCACGTGCAGTATTAGAGGCAAATCAGAGATTACTTAGAGATAAAGGCACATTACAGTCGTTCCTGAATAAGCCCTTCTTGTCTTATTTATAATGACCTTGCACGGGCACTCATTCAAGTGCAGTCAGCAAACACTTACTGCACATCTAGCAGGTGCCAGGCACTCTTAGGTGCTGAGCAGGCAAAGGCCAATCAGATCTAGTTCTTGCAGTTTAGTTGAGACATTCAAAGTCAATGGAGACAAGTGGGAATTTGATAAGGTGCATGTGATGTGTGGGAAAGTGCAGGTGTGGAAAGCAAAACTAGGAGATGCCACTCACTCGAGGCATGGAGGAGAAATGCAAGGGGTACTTGAAACTCTGGTTAGCAGGATTAGGGGCCGGGGCACATTGTGGGAGGAGCAGCTGGGAAGACAGAGGTTTAGAACCGGCCAGAGGGTCATGATGTCTGAATTGGGGAGTTTGGTTGTGAAAAAGCTAGAGAAAGCAAACAGGGCCATGACCACAAAGGATCTTGGTGAGGTTTATCCACTTTCTCCTTAAAACAACAGAGAGCTATGACAGGGCTTCACATCCGTTACTGAGTGATAGCATCAGACTTCTTTGGGGGAAAGTGAATCTGCTAGTGTGTGACGCTGGGCCACAGTGGGAAAGGAAGGGCTGGAGGTGTAGCTCTGTGAGAGTAATCACCCGGTGTGAGCGAGGCCCTGGGTTCCATTCCCAGCACCACTGTGGAAGGAAAATAATGGAGCATGAGTAGCAGCGAAAACCAGGTAACAGGCTGCTGTAGAGATCAGCAGACCTTAGTTAGAGAAAGTTCCCTCGGCAAGAGGGGAGAAGAGGTAGGAAAGCCTGGAGAGGGTACTAACAGGAGAGTTTTCTGGGCCAGACATAGAAGCAGGTAAGGAAAATCAGGACTCAGGAATTATTCTCCCCCATCTTTGAACTCCTGAAAGATTAACTACAGTCTTTTTATTCATTTCAATGCCAGCCCAGCCACTTGTACAAAATAAGTCTTCAATTTATTGGCATTTCAATCAAATTTCCCAGGTTTCTATTAGAAACCAAGATTCCAGGTACTTTCCACGGTGCTCCTGGAACACCCTTCACTTTCAAGTATATAAAGCTGCTACAAGAGTGAATTTACGGTTCTCAGAAGGGCCTCCTGTTTTTGTTCATCTGCCCATTTAGTGGGTTCTTACCGGATTAATGGCCTGGTGCATGAATCACAGTGACTCTCCGCGCAGAACTGAGTGCTGAAGTGAGAGCCGACAGGAGGTTTCAGCTCTCCGGTCTCTGATGCTGCCTTGAGCCCCAAGCACAGGTCAGCCATGGCTGAGGTCCCCCCATCCCACCTGCCCCTCCCCAGGCCTCTCCTAAGCGTCTGAAATATTTATGTTCATTCTGCAGAAAGGCCACTGCTCATTTCCCTGTCACTACGACCCCTGAAGAAATCCTGACAGCCCTACTGATTGAAGCCTTTTTAAATCATTTTTTGACTGAGCGGCTCAGCAAATGAAGCATTGTGCTCATGGAGTGCTGGGTACAAGTGAATAGCAGGCTCACTTCCTGAAGCCACCAGCGTGCTTTGACAGAGAGACGTCCCCACCGAGAAGAGGACTGTAGGGAAAAAAGGAGTGCGTCTACAGAGGAATGGCAAGTCAGTAGGAGGGACGATGACTGGGAGTCCAGGAGGGCAGAGAAAGCCTCACAGGAGAGGTGCCTTGATTGGGATTCGAGTTAGCATTCAGCCAGCGTTTTGGGGAAGCACCACCGGCACGTGGGGCCGAATGGTTGCATTATAGGTTATGTGTAGTGTGTTATTTACCATCCCTGGGCCCTGTCTGCCCAATCCCAGAAGGTCCATAATGCAGGCACATTTCCAAACACTCCCCGAAGGGATAGGGAATTAGCTCAGTGGTTCTGCCACCTGTCTCACAAGCGCAAAGACCCAAGTTGGATTCCTGATATCAAAACCAAACCAAATACTCCCCGAAGGACAGTACTTCCTGGGTGTGAACCCCTGACAGACGGCAGAGGGAATGGGAGAAGCAATGTAAATGGAAGACAGGAGGCACCTAAGGCTCATTCGCAGACCACTGATCCAGCAGCAGTGTCACAGAAAACGGCATTTCCAACAGCTGAGACCGGTTTATCTCGCAGTGCTACTCACAACACGTTCAAAGGACTCCAAACCACACGTTAAACACTAATGTCAGGCCAGTTAAATCAAAGGCTTCTGGTGGGTGGGATGTGAGCTTTGAACTTGCACCTAATTTGGAATACCAGTCTCACCACTTCCTGGCCCTTTCCCTGGGCAAGTTACTCTTGTTCTTCAGCCAGTGCTGACTTCCGAATAAAGACCACAGTCCTCCAAGCTTTGGTTGGATGTATATAAAGTGCTAGGTTCACTGTGGTACCCAAAGGGTTGTTATGAGTATTTGTATTACCATTAAGGGTCTTACACTGTAATGGAAGCATGAAAAAAATAGGCAGGAGAACTTTTTGTAGAGCATCAAAGGCATCCACAAATACCTAAGATGATCATGACGAAGCTACATTGTTTAACACCTTCTTTGTTTTTTAGGAGGTATTTTTCGGTGCTAGGGATCGAACTCAGGACCTTGTGCTTGTGAGGCAGGTGGCACCACTGAGCTAAATCCCTGGACTTCTTCTTTTCTTTTATTAGTCCAGGTGTGTGGTGCACAATGATTACGTCTATCATAGAGAGTTTGTATCCGAACACAACTACCTAATTCTTTTTTCATCCCTTTCCCTTTCTCATCCCTCCCTGCTCCCCCAAATTCTTGTTCCTCATTACACTTGCAAAAGATCTGTTTCCATTTTTTTCTTCGATTCCTTTTTTAATCCCTTTTCCTTTCCCTCCCTCCCACCTCTTGTTCCCCTTCCCATTTGAAAAATATCTCCCTTCTTCCTATTACCTGTTTTTTACTTTGCTCTTTATTTGTATTTTGGATTTCTCATATAAGAGAAATCCATGCGAAAGATATTTAAACTTGTGTGTCTGATTTATTTCACTTAACATTATGGTCTGGAGGTACATCCATTTACCACAAATGCCTTAAGTTTATTGTTCAACTCCTTCTATGTGGGGAATACTGTGAGCTTACTGAACTCAGTATCCATTCTTTGAGACAGGCTTCAATCACTTTGCAGATATGTAAATGAGATCAGAGACGTTAAATAAGTCGCCTAATATAGATAAACATTAACCAGTCCTTATCTCACATTTCTCACAAACAGTAGTTTGAGATGAATCATACCTTCAAACATAAAGCTAAAACTATAAGATTTCTAAAAAAAAAAAAAAATTTAAAAAAAAGCAGTGCTTTTGCAAAATTGGCCTAGGCAAAGATCTCTCAGGAAAAAAAATGCACTAACTTTAAAAGAACAAAATGATACACTAAAATTAAAAATGAAAGTTAAAATCTTCAATTCATCAAATGATACTTTTAAGAAAATGTCTGTAGAGAAAACACAAAAAGCATTAACTGTAAAAGAAAAACCTGCTTTGACTTCATTAATATTCTACTTTTTGAAGGGCACAATTAAGGAAATGAAAAGGTAAGCCGCAGTCTGAGAGAAAACTTTGTAACTCATATGTCTAACAAGAGACTTGTATTCAGAATGTGCACACACCTCTTATATGTCAATAAAAAATGATAAAAAGCTCAGTCAAATATATGAGCAAAAGTCAAACATAAGATATAAAAACCCTTTTCAAATCATCAGAGAAATGCAAATTAAAACTGCAATGCAATATTTTTTTTCACAAATAGATAAACTTTTTAAAAGGCTGATAGCACAGACATTGGTGAGAATCTGGAGCAAATGAAAAGTTTTGTTCTGTGCCTTGATGCTTTCATACACTGTCAGGTTCAAATGTAGGCTCAAGTGCTAGGCTTACTTCAGAAAATATATTGGCAGCTATAACTTACGCTCAAGTTCCAACACAGCCCTTCTCCTAGGCATTTGTTATCCACATATGGAAGAATGAATCTGTCACTCTCTACTAAAATCAAATCAAGGTAGATCAACAGCTTAGATATTAAAACAAACACTGAACCCGCTGGAAGATAAAATAGGTCAACTCTTGAAGACATGGGCATAGGCAAGGACTTGCTGAACAGAAACCCAATCAAACAAGAATCAACAGAGTCATGTCAAATTAAAAAGCTCTGTACAGCAAAGGAAACAACCAATAGAATGAAGACACAGCCTACAAAATGGGAAAGTTGTTTTACCAACTACTTTTCAGACAGAAGGCTAATACCTGGACTATATACTAAGCTCAAAAAAATTAGATCCCCCCCCAAAAAAAAGATCCAGTCAAAAACTTGGCAAATGAAATGAATGGACACTTCTCCAAAAAAAGTGCAAATGTCCAGCAGGTCTGTGGAGAAGTGTTCAGCATCTCTGGCCATTAGGGAAATGCAAATCAAAACAGCTCTGATATTCTATCTTGCTCCAGGGAGAATGGCTGTCATCAAGAACTGAAATAACAACAAATGCTGGTGAAGTTATAGAGAAAAGGGAAGACTTCTTCATTGTTGATAAGAGTGTAAACCAGTGCAAACACTATGGAAATCAATATAGGGATTCCTAAAAAAAAAAAAACGAAAAATTCCATTTGACCCAAGTATACCTCTTTGTTTGCTTGTTTGTTTGTTTCTGAGCTAGGTTCTCTCTGTGTAGTTCAGGCTGACTTTGAACTCACTATATAGCCCAAGTTGGTCTTGAACTCACAGAAATTTTCCTGCTTCAGCTTCAGTTTCCTGAAGTGTGTGCCATCACACCCAGCCTATACCTCTTTTGAATGTCTTCCCAAAAGAGTTGAAGACATCATACTACAGTGATACATGCATACTCATGCTTTTTTTTGTGGGGGGTACTGGGGATCGAACTCGGGTCCTTCTGCTTGCACATACTCGTGCTTATAGCAGCACAACTCTTAATAGCTAAATCTTGAAAGTAGCCTATAGGCCCATCAGCTGATGAATGGATAAACAAAATATGATATAAATATGATATATATTATTTCCTCAGTAATACAGAAGGATAAATTTGAGTCATTTGTAGGAAAATGGATGCACTTTGAGACCATAATGCTAAATGAAATAAATCAGACACAGAAAGTTTTGTATCACATAGTTTTTTATGTAAACCTAATATGTAAATAATTTAAAAAGCAAACTAAGCCAGGTGTGGTGGCACATGCCTATAATCCCAGCACTCAAGGGACTGAGGCAGAAGGGTTATCATGAGTTCAAGGATTACATGAATAAAATAAAAGACAGATGATAGGCACCAGGAGGTAGAATTTTTGGGGATCGGAAGGGTTCTGGGGATGGGACCTAGAGTAAGGCAAGAAGAAGGGGAGATAAAAAATTGTTAAGATATAATATGTGTGTGTACCAGTTCGTCAAGATGAAAGTAATTCTTTCCAGGCAACAATTGGTGGCGCACACCTGTAATCCTAGGACTCGGGAGGCTGAGGCAGAAGGCTCTCCATGAGTTCGAAACCAGCCTGGGCTACATAGTGGGTTCAAGGCCAGCCTGAATTACATAGTGAGATCCTGTCTCAAAACAAAAAGTAATTATTATGTATTGGAAACATACACCAACAAAAGAGAGACTAAAAATGAGAGACGTGAAAGTACGCATCTGCAGGAGTCTTACATGCAAACATTTATTGCAACTTTATTTATAATAGTAAGTAACCAAAAATAACACAAGTGTCTGTTGGTAGGAAGTCTGATAAATAAATTCTGGTAAATTTGTGGAACATAATACTACTCGGCAATTGAAAAAGTGAAAAAAGAATGGGGCCTGGGATTTAGCTTAGTGGTTCCACCACCTGCCTCGCAAGTGCAAGGTCTCGAGTCAATCCCTGGTACCCAAAACTTTTTTCAATTAAAATAAAAGAAAAAAGAATGAACTAGTAATACATGTGACAATGTGATGCATCTCACAATCATAATCTTGTGGTAAAGGAGCCAAACTCAAAAACATTCATGCTGTGATTCCATTCACATGAAGTTAAAAAAGGAATCCGTGGCAATAGAACACACATCACCTGTGGGGATACGGATTAATCGGAAGGAAAACTGAGGACCTTCTTTATTTGGGCATGGGCAATATAATCATACACATGTGTTAAAAACCTATGTGGAAAACAGAATGTCTGCCTTACCCCATGTGCAGACTTCATGTAAGAGAAGAACAGGAAGAGCTTAGAAGACCACACTGTGCCAGCCTCTGCTGTGGCCATGTCCAGCAGTAGTGAGGTGCGTACTCAGCAGAGAGTGCTCCCACCTTCGATCTGGAGAGTGGTCAACCACCTTTGAGAACTCCATTTTTCCTTCCTTTTCAATAACTACAAAGTATGCATTAGTTTAAGTTCTGAACATCTGTTTCCCAAGAGAGTTAACGATGAAAGGACATTTGATACAACATTTGTTGATGTTTTCCCATCATCTTATGGGCTGTAATTATTTCACTAACTGTGTGAATAAGCACAAATTTGGGGGCTGCATCAACATTTATTTTTAAAGTTAGAAGTCATTTTAAGAAATCTGTGCCTAAAGCCAGGCGTGGTGGCACACACCTGTAATCCCAGCTGCCTAGGTGGCAGGGATAGTAGTTCAAAGCCCGCCTGGGCAATTTGTAAGACTCTGTCTCAAAATAAAAAAATTAAAAGGGACAGGGATGTAGCTCAGTGGTAGAGTGGCTAGCATGCACAGAAGCCTGGAGTCAATCCCCAGTACCACACCCCCCCAAAAAAAGAAAAATTGCCAAATTTTACAAATATTTTTATGGACACAGAGTATAACTGAACTACAAAATCCTGGGACAGTGCTGCTGTTGAATATAAGAACATATTTCAGTGTGGTGTTGTGTGCTTTCTTTTTTGCTGCTTGTCATTAATTGGATGACAAGCACTTAAAAAACATTTGAGCTTCTGAATAGCTATTCTGTAGACCAGTATAAGCATTTTATCATTGTATTGAACTTTTTACAAACAAATCCCCCTCGATTTTGGTTGTGCCTTGTTAAAAATTAGGTGGAAATTTTTTCTTCCTCCTTTGTTTAATTTGCTAATTCTTATACTACCTTTTAAATGCCCAGGTGAATTTGGTGATTGTAGAGAATCATTTATCCATCAATACAAGCAAAAGATAGAGTAATTCTCCACCCAAAAAGTTTCTGTAAAGCAGGGATTTGGCTCAGTGGTGCCGCAGCTGCCTGGCAAGCACAAGGTCCTGAGTTCAATTCCTGGTACAGATAGATTTTTTAAAAAGTTTCCTATAACTATATGCATTTGCTATACTTTGGCTACTGAGTGCCCACTTTAAGGCCATTTATTAAATGCTTGGTCCCTGGCCTGGGGTGCTACTGGGAAAGGATGGAACCTTTAAGAGATGGAGCCTTCTGAGAGGTTTCAGGTCATTTGGAGCGTGCCATGAGAGGAAACTATGGAGCACTAACGTCTTCCCTTCTTCCCTCTCTTTCACTTCCCACCAGTGAAGTAAGAAGCTTTGCCCCATCCTACACTCCCTGCCAGAACGGGCTGCCTGAGATCCAAAACAATGAGGCCAGTTAATCATGGCCTGAAACCTGCAAAACCCTGAGCCCAAATAAACCTTTAGTCTTTATAAAGGGATTTATCTGGAGTATTTGTTACAGTGATAGAAAGCTAACACAATGCTCAATCTTATCTCCTCACTCAGGCCCCAGGAAACCACTGATCTGTTTCTCGTCACTATCATTTTACATATTACAATAAAATTACAGGGCCAAGGATTTAGCTCAGTGGTTCCACTGCCTGCCCCGCAGGCACAAGGACCCAAGTTTGAACCCTGGTA